ACAAATTTCAAAGAGTTTAAAAATAAATCTGATATGCTTTTGCATGTGAATATATCCAGTCCAATATATGTATGTATGTACATATAGAATGCTGCTGGCGTTTTTTGGACATTTCGGCCTGGCCTGTCTGTAATTCTAGAGTTTTTCAAAGTGAGCACAGACATATATATATGTATATACATATATATATGTGTATATCTATATACATATATATACAGGCTGATTGCAATTTGAACATTTTCAGCTCATTTCTTTTTTGGGGTCAGAATTTGTGTAGGCGTTTGCCTATACACACGTAAGATTGTTATGTCTGTTTCTGTGTCGTTCGATAAGTAGGGCAAAGTCATTGATGTTGTAGTTGTACGGGGTTAATCCCAGATGGGAGAGGGAGATGTCAAGGCTTTAAGGAACAGCCAGACAAATGACTATAACATTACTCAATCATAAGTGAAATGATCAGCGCAATCCTAGCAACTTGAGTTTGACAAGGGAATTGATTGAATAAAATCTTCAAATTCAATGTAATTATTTTATATTTTTCCTAGAATATGGGAGCTATATATGTTTTATTTTGTATGGCCGTCAGTTTTATTCATATATAGGTAAAACGGAAAATATTGTGTGGGTGGCACACATCTATGTGTATATTTATTTATAATATACTCATAGCTATTTCTCGACATCTGCTCTCTAATAATTTTCTAGCATTTCTGACAAATGGCCAAAAAAAACTCAAGGATAAATTACCATTAGCAAAATGTTCGTTTGTGAGATCATGAAAGCTCAATGGGAAAAGCTTTCTCGTCTAAGTTTCAAGTAGAGTTAAAAATAAAATCTTTAAAGTTTCTACTCAGTCAGTATCTGTGTATCCGTATCTATGTGTCTGTGCGACAGGCAGGTGTCTGTCTGCAGTTAATTTTATAGAAGAATAGAAATCTGCTATGGGGCAGCTTTTCAATTCCGTTGTGTGTGAAAATTGTGCGTATGTGCATATGTATGTGTATATATGTATATGTATATGTGTATGTGTATATGCTCATGTGTGAGTGTATGTGTGTAGCTTTTCGAAAATGAGTGTGTGTGCAAATTGTTCACTCATACATACATTCATACACACTCACACACATACACATATAGAGGCGGATATTTTGGTCAGATTTAGTTACAAAATTCCTTATAAGCGAATTTTCTCACAACGTTCATATCATAAATTCGATATACTACATAATTCGTATAACTAAATGAGGAACAATAAATTTCGATTTTCTTTGTTTTTACAGATTTTTGGGCACTTTTTGTTGAATTTTTAATCTTCTGTCAGATTTATTATTTGTATTTTTATATTAATTAATCTATTTATAGACACATACATATGCACATTAATAACTGAATTCGTTATATATAATATATAAATATATATATATATTATTTATTTTTTAAGTTTTTATTATGCAGATAGCAATTTGAAATATGCATTTCAACTGCACTTTTCACTTTTTTTTATAACGTATAAAAATTTTTGTATGTAGAATTTATTCTGTTTTTTTTTTTAATAATTACGCAGTTTTGTTGAAAATATATTATACAGTTTTCCAATTTATATTTATATATATTTTTTATATTCCCAATGCAAAAATCCTGGCAGCAGCCGCAACTAACCTTAGCGTTTCAAACACACTATACGCTGTCGAAACCCCGAGAACACTGATGCTGACCAAGTCGCGGTGCCGAGAAAGCGACCCCAAGAAATAACGCAAGGCGCACACACACACACACCTGCACACAAACATACCAACACACACAAGCACTCACTCATACATAGGCACGCAGTATTGAATAATTTTTAATTTCGTAAAATTTCCCATTAAAAAAAAAAAAGAAAAGCGCTTTCGCAACTTTTCATGGGCCATTTGAAATTTCCCTCGATATTTCCCCAAATACACATACACATATACCTTCATGTATCCGTGTACTTGTATACATGTGCGAAGATCTCACGAAGAGCCAGCTCGCTCTTTCTTCTCCTCTCTCTCTTTTTTGGACTATGCTCGCATTTTCTTTTACTGCATTCAAGGCGTATGATGTCTCACAGACAGGCGTGAAAATTATGCGTTTTTTTTTTCTTAATTGAAAAATATACATACGTGAGTACATATATATTTTTATTTTGTATTTTTTCTATATGCTTGTGTATCTGTATCCATCCAAAGTGATGCTATAAATAGCACATAAATGTACGAAACATGCCCGAGTCGGACACGGCTAACAAGATGAGAATCTATTTTGATTAAATAAATATTGAGAAATTTTTTTTTCAATTTTTTTTTTCACACGGTGCAGACCGCTTTTGGTCTATATACATACTCACAACTATAATTTTTATATACATACATATGCACATATATATTTGTGACGTGGCATAAGAAAAACACAATTATAGTTTCAAAACTTAAATTTATTATCAGGAAACTAAAAGAACAAAAAATGAAAACGAGAAAATTAAAACTAAATATTGAAGAGAAAATTGCAATTTTTGCATATTTTAATGAATATGTTTGAAAAGTTGTAAACATCTTTTATTAGTTTACTTGAAATAGTAACCGAGAGCAACCAATCTGCAAGAGCTAGAATGAAGCATTTATATGGACATGCTTACCAGTGTCCGAAATATATATACATATATATATTTGTATTATAGTACGATCACTACTTGGATGTACTCTTAACTTATTTGTTATATTAGTATGAAATATTTTAGCTATTGTGAAGTTTACAATACGTACAAGTTACATATATGTATGTATGTACGTACTTTCCTATTAAAGCTATGGCTATGGCAATATAGGATATTTTTACTATGTATGTGAATCACTCAAGCAGAAAAAGGCAAACTTCCTTTTGGGATTGCTTCGCTTTATTGCTTTTACCCAATTAAAGAAAACAAGTAAGAAAGCTCTAGTCGAGACTGCTCGACTACGAGATCCCCT